AGATTTTTTGATGCATTTGGCCGGTTTAGCGTATTTATTAGGTACGCATTGAGAGCTGAATGCGCATTTGTTAACGCTCACCACAATGCCACCTTGAGGACATTTGTAAGAAACACACTGTCCGTTACAACACGTCGTCGGATCATCGGTATATCGTGTACAGGTGACACTGTCACTGCATGGAACATTGAGACGAGTATTTGCACCACAGAGCCATTGTGCTTGATTGGGCTGAATTGCAAGTAGAACGAACGAGGCGATGATAATAAGGAGCGATTCGACTGGAAACATTTCCGAATGATTACCTCAAAGCATCCCGGCGATATCGTTTTGTTCGCAATTTTGTTAGCTCAGCTTGCTCATTGTCCATACCTTTCAGTTGTTGTTCCACATTCTGTTATTTCAGTTTGCATGTGTAATGTAATCTCAACCCTACCTATATTTATTGTATATGGAAATAATCCATACTTGCAGTTTACTCTACTTATGACATTATTATGGATGAAAGTCAACGAGTGACAACACAACTCTATTTTTCTATTTTAGAGGTTGCATTTTAGAAATAAGCTATCATCAGTCAGTTCATTATCATGTCAAATGAGTCACGGGTACTACGAACATATCGTTGAATTCAGTGGATCAAACATCACATAATACTTCTAGCAAGTTTCGTACCGTTCAACAGCAAAAATTGTTTGCATGATTCTTTTCATTCCGATTGAACGGAACTGATTTCAAAATCACGTTCGAGACTAATCGACTTCTTAGTGTCATTAGATCAAAATCTTTTGGAGACTTATTGTTAGGTTGTTCAACAAGGCCATGTGAGTCTTGGAATTTGATAATTTGAACAATAATTTGCTCGAAATGTGTGTTTAGCTGACGAATTCAATGAAAATTCATTAATAAATTGAGATCAGTGAAATGGAGTTCAGAGAAATGAATCCTAAAGCTTCCACTCTCAACGACTTATTTGAAGAAAACGTAAAGGTTTTGTTCATTCCCTGGTATTCATATCAGCTCACTTAAAGAAAAAAATGTTGTGTTTTCTCTGACCGAAAGCAATCTGAAGTCAAAATCGATGATCACATCAGTGGTGACATCTCTTTTCACAGTATATGAAATCAGCTCTGAAAAGTGCTTCAACTGCATCTAATTCATATGCATAAAAGCCATCCAAGTTGTACTTAAACCTATGGGCCAGTGATGGCATCCGAGCGAAATTTCATGTCGGTTGCAATCCGAATGTCGGAATTCCAATCGATGGCATCCGAGCGAAATTTCATGTCGATCGCAGTCCGAATGTCGGAATTCCAATCGAAATTTGCCGGATTTTCCCGATCGACCGTTGATCGGATGCCATCATTACTATGCAGTTTCGTTCCTTCTCAATCGCTCCAAATGTTCATCGCATTTTTTATCATCTGCTTATCAACACCAGTGAAAATGCTGAACGGAATTTCATGACAGGTGTCGAATTTCATTGCTGAATGTAACAAAAGTGTGGTTTATTGATAACAAAAGAGATAGAAGTTAGCTTCATCGATACGAAAGGACATATGCCATATGGTGTAACAATTGTTACTGCATCTAATAAGTTACTAAACTATTAAATTATCACATCATTACCTCATCTGCGTTCATGAAAACGTTTAGCTGATCTTGTGATATGCTTGCAATAGATGTTTTCGCTGTGTTCATCGCCAACGTTCTGGCGTCGTCATTCTGTTGACTCTGAGCATATTTAGTCGTGTCATTGATGTGGCACTACTTTACAATCACAAATATTTTCATACGAAAATAACTGTTCGACAACAGTGATTAGAATCATATAGGCAATTTTAGATGTTTAACATTCACTCTCAAATGGATCAGCCTAGTTGGATTGTAGCTAAACATTAATGAATGGTGGCATTCGTTTGGATTGTTCACAGATCCATCCCATCCACGTCATCACACTGCCAACCTTAAACCAATACTGATTGCATTCAACATCAATTTCATTAGCGCAACACTTTCCTCTGAACTTTCCAGCAAATAGCCAATTTTGATTGCACAATGAATGGAAAAAGTAACATTTGGATTATGAATATGCATATAATCAATTCAATGTTTTATTTGTTTGCAACATTCAGTATGTCCCCAAGAAAGCGTTCGAAGTGAATGACTGTCACATATTTTGTAAAGATATTAGGTTCGAATGCTTGCAAGACTAATTCAATTTCTTACAAATTCTGTACAGTTTATTTGTTTATGCTCCGTTCCACCACTGCAATAGCGCAACAGTATCACGATAATCACGTGAGATTCAGAAGATTCACAGCAAAAAACTGCAAAAAAGTGACAACTGTTGCTGTACGATCAATACCGGAAGATGATCATTAAAGAAGATAGATGACTCTGGATAGAATAAACAACCGTATTGTCTTACTAATTGCTGATAATCGAGAAATTAATTGGTTCCGTTCTGAAAAATGAACTGACATTCTGAAATAACATTCTGCTTGAACACAACGATATGGGTAAAAAAATTCTGTGGATTGATGGGTGAATGAGTCATTTTGAAATAAAATTTCTGAAATGAAATAAACTTTTCCGGTGTCTGTTTGGAGACGACGGCATCTGAAGAAGTTTACGGTGTGCAATCCCTCTGGCAATACTTTCTGCTGCTAGACTCTTTGATAGATGAGTGACCATTGATCCTGAAACATTTCATTCACTCTGCTTCAATAAAAGTACAAACCTGAAAATATCCTTTCCATTTCATCATGATTGCATCAACTTACTTTAGTACACGTATATAGTTTTTCCTTTGTGTGTCTGCTTGTAGATAGATGAACCCACTCAGTGTTGATTTCACTCAATAGTGTGTGACCAAGGCCGAGAGAACATACGGGTATGATGTGACAAATGAAGTGGGAATCTATATGAAGAATCATGAAATGGAAAACATTGAATACTGACCCCAGCAGGCATTGAGCATACGTTGTTGGGGTTTGTTTGTTGAAGGAAATGGTGTGTCCTTTCTGTTGTGGTTTGGACTTCGAGTGACGTGAGAGGATCGTGTGGTGTCATTGATTAGGGTTCAATACTCTGGGTTATGATACATTTCAGTACGGTACTCCTTGGAACATACCAACGAATTCATCTTAAGAAAACTGCCTAGAAGAAAACTGTCGTCAAAAAAGAAGAAATTCCACTAGTACGAGGGAAAATTTCTTCATGGAAATGTGGAGAGAGCAGAAAGGTAAGAAAAAACTTGTACTTATGCAGGCATTTGTGGGGATTTGTATGCTTTTTCTCTCACTTCTGATCGAGCTGCATTGAGTGCATATCCCCGTTCCAAAATTTGCATTCATGTCACATCCTGTTGTTGACTCAAAAATTGGTTTAGCTATGCATTTTTTGCTGATTGACTATTTGGTAAGAAAAAAATATATCTTTTATGGATTCTGAATGTTATGGATGCGTAATGGGTGCAAAAAGGGTGCTCGAATGCTGTTTGGTGATGTGGTACTCAGCAACTTGTAAACATCGCACGAGTTCGGACATACGTAAACAAGTGTCTATCGTAGTTCCTTATGAACCAGACCTTAAGCACAAGTCTCAGCGAGCGTAACTAAGACTGACTCTAAGCCCGTGTTTGTTTCGAGCAGATGAGACTGACTCATCAACATCTTTATGAGCTCTCATACATACACTCATACAAGTCTTAAATATTGCCAGTGGTACTCAAGTTGTGGTGGTCGTTTGCGATTGGCCATGTGATGCAATTATGTATGATGATCATGATTAACTCTGAACAATGAATTTTAATTAGATTTTTTGTTGTTGCGGTGGCCATACGCTCTTACTTCAAATTAGTTTCAAACATGCACGAATATGCAAATAACACGAAGCGATTGCAGATGTTTGTTTGTTCACCAGCGCACTCATCTGCAGCTAGCTCATTTGTGGGTCTTACTAGTGCTAGCTGCCTCGTTTGCCTGTTTTCGAGGAAATCACTTGTCCCAAATTTTCTCAACTTTTCGTATTCTCCAAGCTGAAACATTTATCTACTATCCAATTTCTGAGATTTTCAACTCTCACAACTGCACCAAAGCGGACTATTTGGTTGTATACTAAGGGATTAGATGTATCCAGGTTGTCCGATTAGGCAGAATTCAATTTCGACAAAAAAGCATTCATTGACGTTGAACGAACGCAATTTATGTCACACCATCTCTTTGATGGGCTTCATCAATTTCGCATGGATGGGTACGAAGAATGCGTTAATGGATGATGCATTAATTGGAGCAGTTTTTTGATCTCATAATGAGTGAACGAATTGCTGAACGATTCCGTTCGGCTTAAGAGGCTGATTCAACAAATGCTTCTTCTCTCATCGAACTGCTGCTGCTGCTAGTGCAGCTGATTTAATTCATCGAATTCATCTGATCTTCTGCAATGGATTTCATGCATTTTCACATTTGTGACGTACATTCAACAAAACTGCTCCACTTTGATTACTTGCTTACGTGCTCAACACGTACAGAAATAATTGTTGCAATGCCTGCTTCTTCTTCTGAACACATCTAGTGCCAGTTCATTTTCTAGATCTTTACAATATCTTTCTTTCTTCCTTCCTTTCCTTTCTTTCTCGCAGTCGTGTTAAATTAATTTTATCAAACGTTGCTTGTCGTCAACTCCACATATCAATCACAAAACTTTTTTCGACGCATTTTTTTGGATATTTTGAAGAAATCCCAAGAAAAAGTGTGTTCATTTCAAGACTTGCGACTTACTTAAACTCGGATACAACTCAAAGTTACTTGTTGCTCTGCGACCACAGTTTATTATTACTCATTGATATTACTTACGGCTAAACGACAACTCCAGCTAAGACCCAATTGTATCGGACCTCGTCCATCGACATTGCGACTTATGAATCAACAGTGGCTTCCAGGGTAAGACCCATATTCATTTATATAGCAGTAGCACAAAGACGATGTTTATATTGTGTTCTTTTGGATTTATTTCATCTCGATTTTATTCTGTTTATATGGGGCAAGGAATGACGCAGAGAAAGAGAGTGCAGGAAAGAGGTAAAAATTGAACGCAAACGGAGAGAGAAGCAAAGAAAGAGAGAGAAAAATTCAGAATCGGTAGCATCGGAAGGATAGAATGAATGTGTGTATTTATGTGACGATTTTTGTTTACGACAATTGTGCACTTTGAAATATGTGATGAAAACACATTCATTTCATATCAGAATATCCCCCAACTCTCTATGTGCTGGCTGTACTTCTGATCGCTCTCTTCTCTGTCGTCTCTCATGTTTACGTGATGTTTTCTGGTCGCAAAAAATGTTTTCTTCTCTTTTATCCTGGC